TTGGAGAAGCGTAAGCAGAGAATTAGGCCATGACTCGGTGGCTGATGGTTGTAAATTTATCATAAGCTTTTTGTGCACTTTGTTGGAGGAAGCTAGTTGTTGGGAAATTATTGCAGGCATATACTGAGAAAGCCTTAGCTCCTTGACCTTTTCCTCACCCCAGAAACAAAGAAGAAGTAAAAACTGAAAAAGAGTAAAATAATCTATACATCTGATCCTAAGCACTTATCATAAAGTGTCTGAGAGGTGCCAAATACCCAACATACACAAAAAGAGGAAAGGTTTGTTTTTAGTTCAACATTTTGGAAGTCTCAGTTCATAGCTGACTCCAAGGCAGGGACATCATGGTAGAGGGTGTGGCAGGAGAAAGCTGCCTATTTCATGGCAGAACACCAGCAAGAAATGTATAGTCCAAAGGCATATCCTTAGTAGCCTACCTCCTCCATCTGCCCCTCAGCAGAACCACCAGCTTCCAATCACCTCTCCAGAAGTCTCTTATTCCAGTCAAATTGACAATTTTTACCTAGTACTAAAAAGCTACAATGGAGAGGATAATATTGAGATAAGAGTACATAGAAAAATGGAACAGAGCCCAAACAATAGCTCCATGTAAATATAGTTAACTGAATTTGTCAAAGGGATATAGACAACTCAATAGAGAGAAGAGACTAAATTAGATACAGAAAGATTGTTAAAAATAAACCAGATGAAATCCATAAATTTAAAAATTAACATGAACACAAATTCCCAAAAATTCACTCAAAATAGACCATAAACTTCAATTTTCAAATGCAAAATTTTAAGTTACAGAAGTTACAGCTTTGTGTCCTTTGCACAGAATGCCCTGGGAAAACTGGCCCTCTGATATCATAACCCTAGAAACTACAGAAGCTGGAGTGAGGCCTATAACAGACCCTCCCCTATTACCTCCACAGGAATTGCCACTCTTCTGTCACCTCAACTCCAGAGCTGTGAGACAACAAATTTCTGTGATTCTAAGCCACTCAGTTTGTGGTACTTTGTTAGGGAACCCCCAGGAAAGTGACACATTCTAATCTTTCCATCACTCTCTCCAGTCCACTCACAAGAAAGTAGAATGGCAGCAGGGCCATGGTCACTGGAAGGTGGTCACTTTGCCCCATCTGAGAGGTCTGGCTTCTGTTGTCAATCTTAAGGGCCACTGTGGGGTGATAAGGACAATGAATGGTAAGAGGTCAGCCTCCCCAGAGCTGGTCAACAAGCCTCGTCCCTGCTGTTGTTGGAGCCCAGAAGGCCCATGGCTGGACAAACCCTGCCTTTTGGGCCTCCACCATCCCGAACCCCCAATTCTTAATCCTCTATCCTAATCTTTAATACTGGCCCTCTGACCCTTAACTCCTGACCTTGATTAATTGGGTAAGAAAACATTTTTTCCTGTACTTTTTAAAGCTTTTACTTGGGTCCTCTCTTGATTATATTCCCAATACCTAAAATAATTGACTTTTCTGTTTTTTTGCTTTTGGGTATAGCTTTTATTTTTCTGGTAACAAGGATCAAACTTTGGACCTTGCACTTGCCAGGCAGGCATGGTGCCACTGAGCTACATCTCAGGCCCTGTGTGCAGCTGATTTTTTTTTTCTTTTCTTTTTTTTT